TTTCCTACCCTCACTTGGCAATCGTCTACTGTGCTAAGGGAACTGAGAACTTGGGAGACATGATGGATCTACATTAGGTGACTCTTCAAATCTGCATCAACTATAACCAATTTTTTTTTTTAGTTTCATTGAATTTTTTGCTAAAGGCAACTGAGTGAGCCTGGAAGTGATTTTTTAATTTTTTAATTTTTTTTAGTTTTATTGAATTTATTTTTTTTTAAATACACAACAGCAGAATGCATTACAATTCTTATTACACATACAGAGTAAAATTTTTCCTATCTTTGTATATAGAGTATGTTCACGCCAATTCATACCTTTATACATGTAGTTCTTTTTTGCATGACAATTCTTATTACACATATACCACAAATTTTCATATCTCTGTTTATATATAAAGTATGTTGACACCCAATTCGAGTCTTCATACATGTACTTTGGATAATGATTTCCATCACATTCCACCATCCTTGCTAATCCCCTGCCTCCTCCCTTCCTCTCCCACCCCTCTTCCCTATCTAGAATTCATCTATTCCCCTCATGCTCACCTTCCCTACCCCACTATGAGTCAGCCTCCTTATATCAGAGAAAACATTCGGCATTTGTTTTTTTTGGGATTGGCTAAGTTCACTTAGCATTATCTTCTCCAACATCATCCATTTACCTGTTTTTTTCCCCCTGTACTGGGGATTGAACTCAGGGGCACTCAACCACTGAGCCACATCCCTAGCCCTAATTTTTTTTTTTTTAAGGATAGGGTCTCACTGAGTTGCTTAGCACCTTGCTGTTGCTGAGGCTGGCTTTGAACTTGGATCCTCCTGTCTCAGCCTCTCAAGCTGCTGAGATTACAGGCCTGAACCACTGCACCAGGGAGTATTTTTAACTCTTCCTCTTAAGCACTCAATTCCCACAAAAGGGAAGCCATTTTCCAGAAATACTGAAAGGATTCTCAGTTGTTCATTCATTCATTCATTCATTTTATTTTTTTTAATGAACAGATATTAGATTTCCACAAGGAAAAGCTGAGAAGGAGGGAATTTCTCAAAATTTTTCAGGTCAAAGAAAGTTCACTTCTTGTAAGCCAAAATCAACAAAATAGCCCCACCCTCTTCAGTGCAGAATGTAATGCGGAAACATAGTTTGTGGAAACAATCCAAAATCAATTAAAGTAGACTTAAGGAACAGAGCATAAAAGAAGTACATGCCAATCCACAGCTCACAGGAGTATTTCTAGAGAGTATTTCAGGCTAGAAGTAAAACAAAACTAGAAACTGATAAGCTTTAGCCTACTTTTCATTTACTCAACTGAGTAAATATGAGATGGGCTTAAATTCCTTATTTTAAATTCCTTAATGTTTTCTTAGCGTAAAGTGCATCACCTTGCGTTCTTGGTATGGGTGGGAGTTTTACTGGTTAAACCAGAGATAGTTGCAAAAGGATCCTATAATCTTCATTAGAAAAATCAGCACTCTGCCATATGTACCATAACAAAATGCATGCCTTATCTGCAACCTGCTCCGGGGTAATTTGAAGATTTCTCAACAGAATTTATTCTTGCCAGTGGACAGGAGTGGAAAATTCAATACTAGTAGTCAGTATACTTTTTAGCTTCCCTATTTAAACAATGGGGCAAAAAGTTTGTTTGTATTTCAACTGTATTCAAAATGGTGCCATTGTTTCTGGGGAGGCATGGTTTTTACTCTATGATTTAGGCAGGTGCCAAGTTTGCAAACCAGTTATACCTTCCAGGCAGTGCTTATGAGGGCAAATGTTTAACAACTGATTCTCCGGAAAAAAAAATGCTTATTATAAATAAAAGATGTTTAGTGCACAGTATAAACATTATAATAACAATACTTTAAAAAATAAAACATCCCATATATACCACTGACTTTCTCTTCTTTCTTTCTTTCATTTTTTTGCAGTACTGGGAAATGAACTCAGGGGCACTCTTCCACTGAGCTTCACTTGTAGCCTTTTTTATTTTATTTTTTTAATTTTGAGACAGGATCTCAGTGAGATGCCAAGCCTGGCCTTGAATTTGCAAGCCTCCTGATCCAGCCAAGTTGCTGGGATTACAGGCATGCACCACCAAGGCTGACTAGATCACTTATTCACACAAGAATGATTTCAGTGAGTTTTGCTAGACTCTTCTATCCATCATTAACTATGGTTACAAATGATAAAGACGTGCAGATCTGTGTGGGTTGACATTTACATTTAAGTTCGCAAGGTTAGCGGAAGGTGAAACAATGAACATAAGTGGGAATTTCATTTCAGCTGTTTGTTAATGATGTGTGCATATTTTTTGAATTGGATACTAAAAATTGTGATTGAATACTAGAAGAAAAATTTCCTCAAGGAACTTTTCATGTAATGGCCATTGACAAACATTTTCTTCATGGTGTTCTTAATTGTAGACAAGCAACAAAATAATAAATTAAGTCCTGACTGATTCATAGCATTTGTCAAGTTTGGGTGGTGTAAATGTTCCTGCCAGGGCTGGTGTCAAGCTAGCATGTTGAGACGCTGAATGCAGATTTGGAAAGGTGCAGAGTGGTACCCATCATTTAGTATTTCTCACACACAGATACAACAGATGTAATAACCTCAAGAGCACAGGAAATGATAAAATATTTAGGAAGAGATGAGTTTTTTGTATTTATTTACAGTTTTAAATATAGTTTACTTAATTCTATTTTAATACAATTTTGTTTAAAATATTATCAAAATGTCACAAAATTTCTGAAATTCCAAGTTCTCCCAGCCAGTCGTGGCTGTCTCCAGAACAAGCTTTCCAGGTTCTGAGCTTGAAGGGCAAATGCATTTTCCAGGCAATTTCCCCTCAGCCACAGGCCACTAACCTCCCATTAACAGTGACCCTAAGGCCCAGCTTCCCCTGCTGTGAGTTAATCAGTCTCCAGGGGGTACGATGTATGGCAGAAGTTCCCAGTAGAACATTAACATTTAGTGAAAAGCAAGTGGGATAAAATGATCCTAGCATAGTCATGTGACTGTGAGACAGCCTCAGTTTCCTCACTAGTGGAATGGCAGTTCCTCGGGCTGGTGCTAGCATTGTGCCTCACATACAGCAGAAGCTCAGCAGCTAGAGGGCTAGCATGAAGACCACAGCGGAATCACTACACAAGATTCTGCTTCTGGACACAGAGCGGTCGGTCAGGGGGGCTATGGCCTTTCTCCCAGTTCTGATTTGAGACGTGACTCACTGATGAGTCTAAGAGCCAGGTCGCAATGAGGACATGGAAGAGCGAGCCTTGCCTGGCTCCCAGGGATCACTACTCTCATCTCTTCCCAGGAACCACCACCACCAAAAAAAAAAAAAAAAAAAGTGCTGATAAAATTTGTAGTAGGAGAGTTTCAGCCTAGACCCCAAACAGTGTTTCACATAGGAACCACGGGACATGTAGTAGATCCTGGAATTTAGGAAGACTCACTTGCCCTCTATGTGATCAGCGCAGATAACAGGACCCTGATTAGATGAAGGTTAAGAACTCTTTTAAAAAAAGAGTTTTTGAATCTTTCAAAAAATATGCTGTCGACATTTATCATTTATTTTGACATTCCAAACCTTTTTAGATCCTTTATCTCCACTTTTTCTTTTCAAGCAGACATTTAAATAACAAAACAAAACAATACAAAAACAAGAAGGCTTATTGTGTTTTTTAATATGAGGACTGGGGAAATGCCTATTGTAACGGTTTTGGATTCAGTGAACTTGGCCATGGACTGTGTCTAGCACATGCCTGGGGTGGACACCTAACGGTAGCTGTTTTAGGCTGTGCACTGCGTTCTTTCTTCTTTCAAATCAATTGAAGTTTAACCCAGTGGGGCAGGGGTCTATAGACAAAGCACTGATGAAGGGGCCCACTTCCTGCTGCTTCTAATAGGCAGATAGCAAGCTGAATCGATATCTCCCTGCCCAATACAGTACATTCTTTCAAGAATAAAAACAAGCAAACAAAAAGGTCCACTATGATAGCTACTAACCAGACCAAGGATCGAGGACATTAAGAGATTCTAAGCCACTACCTTTTATTTCACGTACATTTTCAAACTCTAGTTTTTATTCTGGATTTCAGGGACACCAAGGATTAATTGATAAGCCAAACAGAAAAGATAATGGAGCCACTGGGAGTCAGCCTGGCCTTAAAATTTAATCTTCCACATCACATCAACAGTACACAGTCATTACGGTTGGGAAAAAATACAAAGATAGAAACGCATGTGAGTCTAAAAGCTAGAAGCATTTTTTAAAAAATAATTAATGGCTATAATTTAAAGTATTTAGATCCAAAATAAACATATTTATGTAACACATTATTGGGGACAATTCAATATGTAATTCTGAGGAAATCACAGAATTTGGCCTAGAAACATTAAAGGCATAAGGATGCAAGTAATTTATTGAATTTAGCAAGATTCAAATTCAGAGATTGCTTTATTATCACGTTTTATAAAAATTGAAATAGATTTCTATGTAGAAGACATTCTACATTGAAAAAAATAAAACCCAGAAAATATTATAAACCCAATATTGTCAAGTCATCAAAGTTAAGATCTCTAACCATGAGCCGTGAGCCAAGTGACCCAAGATGAATTTTTTTGAAGTAATAATAAGAAAGTACGTGTGTGTCTGTGTATGTGCCAAGTGTTACCTGCAACCAACCAACTCATCTCTCTCCTGGTAGTTTATGTAAGGTACACAGGGACTAGGATGGTTCCTAAGGACATTACTTACACAGTATGCCTAAGATTGAACACACACTGCCCTACCATTGAGTGTGAATTTGGAAGGAATACTAAGGAAATTTATGGGGTCAGTCTTCCTACTTTAACCCTCAAACCTTTGCATCCCCAACTGCAGTGGGAAGGAGTGTCCAGGAGAACTGCAGTGAATCAACATGGACTTCTTCCTCTCTCTGGGCAACTGCAGAAAGAACTGGGTTTATTGTTTGCTTTTGTTTTAAGGATTTTCTTACCTCTCTGGAGCTGTTCTGCTAGTTCTTTTCCTTTCTTTGCCCCAAGGAGGTGCCCCAAAGGTTTGCATCCCCAGGCCACAGTCTTAACAGTTTCTTAGAACTTCACACAGTTGTCCAATGGTTAAAAACATAGCAGGAAACCCAGCTGAGGGCCCTCTTGAGCGGGGCAGGTGAAGGGTGGCTGAGTGGCTGTGTGCCTGGCTGCTGTTGCATAACAAAACCAAACACTCTGCTCTCCTGGCTGTGGCTGCAAGGTGCGTGATTACACACTAAATAATAAGAGCTGTGTGCCTTTCCTTGCTGAGGACCTGAGTGGCAACATGCAATCCCTTTAGTCCAAGCTCTTCAAAATCAAATATTACAGTGCTTTTCGACCATTCGTTTTCAGCCAGTACCCAGAACGAAAACAAATCCAGTGCTAACTTTCATCTTCTGGACTTGGTGCTTTAAGCAATTAAACTTAGTACAAACAGACAAATTCAATTTAAAAAGTTTGAATGAAGCCAAATGTCACTATTTATGTTAGCATATTTTGATTTGTAATTCGTGAAGCTTAAAAGAGATTGGAACCAAGGCTATAAACTGACATGAGGGAAAAAAATACTTACACAAATGTATATACACCATTTATATCACTCATTGCAATCCTAAATTGTCCTGAATCATTACAAGAGTGTCAGATAATTGTTTCACGTCATTAGGTTTTTAGTTTATAGAGGTACTTTAGAATCTCAAAGTAAATAAGATTCCTAAAGGATCAAACATTTTGTAAGATGTTGCCACAAATTTTAATGATTAAGAAGGTTTTTCTAGCCAGGCACAGTGGCACATGCCTGTAATCCTAACAGCTTGGGAGGCTGAGGCAGGAGGATCACGAGTTCAAAGCCAGCTTCAGCAAAAGGGAGGTGCTAAGCAACTCAGTGAGACCCTGTCTCTAAATAAAATACAAATAAATAAATAAATAAATAAATAAAGGCTGAATATGTGGCTCAGTGATGGAGTTCCCTGAGTTCAATCCCTAGTACCAGGAAAAAAAAAAAGAAGGCTTTTCTGGAGCTATATGTACCTATATGTATCTAGTTCTGTGTTTGCCACTGCAAAAGAATAAAAAAGTATATATGATTTGCTTTATTCAAGAAATTTATAATCTGAATAGAAAGGCAAATCCAGCACGTGGAACAACTTGCTAACTATGCACAAAACAACACGGTACTGGATTCTAGTGAGACAGTAAATCAGTCTTCAACTTAGCTCCCCCTGCATCCACAGTCTGGGCTAAGACCTGTAATTTAGCATTAAAGAGTATGCTACATATGTATAGATTTTAGTTTGTTGCACCCTAGGGGTAGTAAGAAATGAACATTTCAGGAGTAATCAACTAATATCTAATCGGGACAGTTGCACATAGAAGTGATTATTAAGTGATACTCCAGTGATCCATTGATTAAGACAGGAACTAATGATTGGGTTTCTATTAATGGCCTACTAAGTAGGAACATAGACTTAAAAAACAGAAAACACTGGTGGGATTCAGATATGTAGGTGGACTTCCCTGGCCTGTAAGAGAGAAGAATCTAATGAACTGAAGTCTAGACACTTGCGTGTGAGGTGAAGCTAGGTACTGGACCTGTGACCTTCATTGGATTGGTTGTTTTGGGTACCTGATGCAGACTTTTGAGGGTGTTAGGACACTATGTCTGGAATATTGTTAAGCTGACCCAAGTACAGGAAGCCTCCATATCTGCAGGCTCAAATAACTTTGAATCAAAAAAATTCTAAATGCTCAGGAGTAGTATGGTCAAATTATATATTGTGTGTGTACCCATACATAATGACAAATCTCATCACTATGTACAACTATAATGCACCAATAAAAAAGTGAGAAAATAAAAAAATGTTCTTCCTCTGCCAAAAAAGTTGTGTATTTTTTTGTTGCCTGCGCTCATCATGGCAACAACAACAACAAACTTTTTATTGTGATTATTCCTTAAATGATAGACTAAAACAACTAATTATATAGTATTTGCATTGTACTGAGTACTAAAAGTAACCTAGAGATGATTTATTATATAGGAGGATGTACATAGGTTATATGCAAATACAATGCCATTTTAGACAAGGTACATGAACATCTGACTTTGGTATCCAGAGGGCTCGTGGAATCAATTCCCCATAGATAGCAAGGGATGACCAAGTCTTTTCTGTAGGGTGCTGTTAGAATATAAAACAATAAAGACTTCAGACTTGAAGTTTACAGAATAGGTTGACATACTGTTTTGGGTTTACTTGCTAATCAAGGCAGTTTAAAATAGCTATGTGGAGAATTTGGTTCTACACTTGCTTTCATTATATCCCGACTGGGACTGTGTTGAAGAGTGGCTAGTTCTTACCCACCCCAGGCTTGCCTGCAACTTCTGTTATCCATGTTTAATCCAATTTACTTTGACTTTTCCATGCCCTAAAGACCTGTCTTTAAGTTAAAGTTTGTCCCTTACCAGCCAGTTCTGTGCCCATCTTGGAGGCCACCACACCTCATAAGCATCTGTGGTAGTTCAACAGATACCTCCTTCCTAGAGGAATTTAAGCCAATAACTAAGGTGATATTGAGAGAGGCCAGTGCCCTCACTCATGACTATCTAAGAAGTATGAAAGGGCATCATGGGTTCTGGAAGAGGGTGCGGATAGGTGCTAAAAAGAGAAGGAAGGGGAAAGCTGAAGGACCTCAGCTCTGACGATTCAAGGCATCCAGAGCTAAGAAATAATTTTAGCGCCAAATTTACAAGATGGCCCCAATGGCCCTTCTGGTGTCATGTCCTTATCTGTCCCCTTGCTGGAGTGAGTCTGGATTGGGATGACCCTGCCTGTGACAAATGCAACAAGGCAGAAGTGACAGTGAGATTGTCAAGGTTAGGAAAGTTTGGCTTCTTTAAGATCTCTGACATTGCTTGCTCTGGGAGAACCAGCTGCATGTTGTGAAGCCATGAAATTAACCCTGTGGAGAGGCTCCCATGGGAAGAACCAACTCAAGCCAGGCTGGAAGGACAGCCTCCACCCCAGTAAGCCTCAGTGACTATGGCCACAGCCCACATCTGACTGCAAACTTATGAGAGGCCCCTGGTAAGGCCCAGCTGAGTCACTCTTCATTCCTGACCTTCAGAAACTATTGGAAATGAGAAATATTTACTGCTGTTTTAAACCACTGAGTTTTGGAATAATTTGTTATGCAGCAACAGATAACTAGTGCATTAAGAATACATCTCCTGCTGGATCTGTGGTGCACTCCTGTAATCCCAGTGGCTCAGGAGGCTGAGGCAGGAGGAACAGGAGTTCAAAGCCAGCCTAAGCAAAAGTGAGGTGCTAAGCAACTCGGTGAGACCCTGTTTCTAAATAAAATACAAAATAGGGCTGGGGATGTGACTCAGTGGTCGAGTGTCCTTGAGTTCAAACCCTGGTACCCTGTACACTCCCACCCCCTCAAAAAAAGAATACATTTCCTGTTCTCACTTGGCCTCATGGAATAATCTAACATAGGCAAAGCATTTTAAAGAAGGAAACCACTTTACACCTCGCTCCTCATTCTTTGCCATTTTCTCTCTTTGAAATGCAGATGCTAATTTAGCTGTGAGGTTAATGCAAGGTCTGGGTGTCTGTGTTCCCCTGACTCCCCAAAATTCACACCTTGAAGGCCTAACCCCAAGTTGATGATATTAGGAGGTAGAACCTTTGGACTTTTGGGAGGTGATGAGGTCAGGGGCAGAGTTCCATAAAAAGAGGAAGAGAAACCAGACCACTTCTGCTCTCTCTTTCTTGCATGCCCACCAAGAAAAGCCATGTGAGGACATAACCCAAAGAAGGTCTTCACCAAACACCCAACCATGCAGGCACCCAACCTTGGACTGTGAAAATAAATGTTTTCTAAGCCACCCAGTCTTGGGTAACTTGATAGCAGCCTGAAAAGACCGAGCCTGGAATGTTTTATATATATATCTTCCTATAACATACAGGGCGGGTAATGTCTGATTACCTACACAGGAAAACACAGATAGCACATAAACCCTGTCTACAAGGCTCAGGGCATGCCAGTGAAGTCATACCTAGTGACTAACCTATTACTCTAAGAATACATGGTCATTGCAAAAGAGTTAGAAAATATAGATTAGATAAAAATACCATTCAAAGATAGCCACCATTAGGGCTGTGGCTGTGGCTCGGTGGTAGAGCACTTGCCTTGTACGTGTGAGACACTGGGTTCGATCCTCAGCACCACAGAAAAATAAATAAATAAAGATGGTATGTCCATCTATAACTTAAAATCATTAAACAAAAAAGATAGCTACCATTAAGTTGGGGTTACCACTAGCCTGTCTTCCTTTCTTCCTTCTTACCTTCCTTCCTTTTTTCTTTAACCTATTATTTTTATTTGTTTTCCACATCTTTTAATTGGTGCATCATAGTTGTACACAATGGTGGGTTTTGCTGTTACATGTTCATACACACACTCACACACACTATATATATATATATATATGAATATAAATTTGGTCAATATCGTTCTCCAGTATTTCTTATTTCTATTTCACTTAAAAATATACCTTGAGTATTTCCCACATAAAAAAGTTTCATGGACACTTTATAATTTTTAATGGCTAGATGATAATCCTTAGAATCAGAAAATGCAGATTATTTTTAAACTCTCTTATTGAAAGTTTATGCCATCATACCATCTCAAAGGCAAATATGTTTTTATTCTTTTTCCACAACCAATACTGGTATCAGGGTTTCTTAAAATCTAATTAATTTCTATGAAGACAAAATGCAATGGTCTGCTAAGTATATCAGCAAGTATTTGCTTTCAAAGAGGAGAAAGAATTTCAAATGCATGAAACTTGGTGAATCGCGTGCTTTATTAGAGTGTGTCATGGGTGTATTCATGTGTGACTGGCCAATGTGACTTGGTAGCAGAGCTAGGGGTGAGGGCCAGAGGGTGTTCCAGTTGGGGTGCTTGTACCTCTGGAAGCTATTAACATGTAATACTGGGGATTGGGAGAAAATTATTAAATTCCTACTGACATCTCTTCAGCTCATCTTTTAAAAATTTCTATTTGGTGCATATTACTGTTTATAAAATACTAGTACAGCAATCTATGTGCATCATACAAACATCACACAACAACATGTGATTCATGCCAAATTTTACTGACAGGATGCATGATCCAAACACTTGGGAAATGCTGATTTTAGATCACTATCCTTTAAATTTGGATGTGCTCAAGAATCTGCAGAGACACTTTGTTAAATGTAGGTTTATATTTGGCATATTCAGGTTGGCGCCAAATTCTACCCTTCTAATACACTTTGATGAGATATTCATGCTACTGGTTCAGAGCAGCAAGGACTTAGATTACTCTTCCTTTGGCCTCCATAGCACAAGGTACTTGCTGAGACACCTGGTTTCAAGGACTTTGCTCTTGAAACCAAGTCCCAGGAAGGACCTGGCCTCCAGCCCTGATGAAGCTCCCATTGATGGCCAACACTAAACCTCAGCCATGTGAGCGAGCCATCTGGAGGATGGCTTCTCCTGTCCCTGAAGTGCTGTGGAGCAGAGACCAGATGTTCCCTCCTCAGTGCCCAAGAGTCCTACATGAATTGCAGGTTTGACAACTTAAATTTTCATTTTAAAGCAAAACAAACTTTTTTTTTTTTGGAGTGGGGGTAGTTCATTATGAAGCAATTGAAACTAGAACCTATAAAAGTTCTGTTTCAGATGTGCGTGTTGGTGTAAAGTGTATTTTTTTAAACTTGTGGGTCTCAAAGTCACAGAATGAGGAGAATCATGCTGTGAGATGATTTCAAAGAGCCCCACGTTACCATCCAATGAATGGAATTTTACCATTAGATATAATCTCACATAAATTCACATACCTTGAGTTAGAAACTGCCATAGTTTGAACATTTGTCTCTTCCAAAACTCTGGTTGAAATTTAATTGTCATTATAAACATATTAAGAGGTGGAACCTCTAAGATGGGATTAGGTTACGAGGGCTCCATCCTCATGGTGAGACTGGTACTGGTCCCTCTTGTCCTTTCACCTTCTGCTATGGGATAACCTGGTAAGAAGACCTCACTAGATGCTGGTCTCTCCATCAGAGACTTTCCAGCCTCCAGAAATGCAAATCTTAATTATAATATTAATCATAAATCACCCAGTCAGTGGTATCCTGTTATC